CTCCTGGTACCGAGTCTGGCGCCGCCAGCGGATTGAACATCTGCTGGTTCTATGAAGGAGAAACTCTAATCCAAATCCAGCTTTCAAAAGAACCAAATGATGCTGGGATTTTCGGCCAAGATGTTGGGTACAATTGCTAAGCAAAACCAGCCATGTCGAACATGCATTAGATCCATTGCGGAAGAAGGCTGTCATAAAAGCAACATAATATCTGGAATGTCTCTCAACTTGAAATCAAAACGGAGGATGCACAAGCTCTATGAGCGCCATGTGCGCCAACCCGTTTGGCCAACAACATATATCCGGCACTTCTCTATAAAGATAAACATCAGGATGCATATGATGTGAACTCTAAATACTAAATATCTAAATATGACCTCTGTGGCCACTCCTGGGATTTCTTCAGCCTCTTGCCGCCGAGGCCAGACCCGCCCCTCTTGGCAGAGCTGTTCCAGGAACTCTGGTCTTACCAACGCAATGTTGGCGTTGACGCAGTACCTTCGGAAGGCCTCGGATCTTTTCCAAGAGAAGCTGGAGACACCGTCATCGCTGGATCCCACGTCTTGCATTCAACGGCACTTAGTGTTTCAAATCTAGAGAAGGTAATCGCACGTGTCTCATTGATGCCATTTAGTACCAGCTTACCCGTAAATTGTTCCTGGGAAACATAAAAAGGTCCTTGAGCATCCTTGACTCTGAGGGTCTTCGAAGGAATTCAACTGGTATTCCTCCGAGCTGTCTGCAGACTCTTCCAGCTGTTCTGGTCCTCGCTCCGGCTCTGCGGCTTTTCCGATGATGGTGCAAGGTGGTGGCTCATCCATGGCGAGCTTTGCGGCAGAGCTGCTGTTGCTAAGAATGGCCTATCTTCGATTGTATTGGGCTGATGCGTTGGCTGGCTTGACCGTCCTTTAAGATCATTAAGAAGTATATAATCAAAAAACAATATATGTTTTAGTATATTGTACGACTAGTGAATGTCAAGCTTTTTTGGGGAGGGTCTGAGGCACCTCTGAAAGCCGTTTTGGCTTGATGCTGAAGTCTGGTGGATTTGGGCATGTGTTCACGCTGATGAGTGTCTTCGTGGGTTCAAAAACATGCCAAAAGCACATGGTTTATCCTTCCATTTTTTCGAAACTGGCCAAACATCTTGTGGAAGAGCTGCTTGGTGATCGGATGAGCTGCGAAAAAATCTCGGATGATGCGATCAACAAGACTCCACTTTGTTAGTGAAACAACCCAAGTACATAGCACATGCAGCTTCTGCGCTGCAACGACGAACAATAAGGGAAGAACTTCAAGTAACTGTAGACTGTACACTCCACGCTGAAGAACAAACAGCACGGTGAAACATACCTCTTAGTCCTCCCATGTTCTTCCATCTTGCACCTCCCTGAATGACAAATCCTTACAGGAAGCAGCTCCACACAGGAAAGTGAGTCTTGTCTCAATGTGCAGCAGCAAATTCTTCCTTGTCCGTCCATCTTTTCCCTCACAACACATGACCGGTTGTGGCAGAAGGTGTCACGAATATCGATCGACTTGAATTCGTAGGGGTTCGTTATCAAAAAAGGACGGCTAGGACGGCTATGTCCTTCTAAGTCTGGTGGTCGGATGAACCACGGCCTCAGCTATTCACCCCAGTCTTCTGCGCTTTAAGTCACGACCTCGGGGCTTCACCACGACCCCCACCCACTCGCCACCGCCCAGCGCGGACGGCTTCGACGGCTTCGACGCCTGCGAGTTCTGGCGCCCAGTGCTGCGGAGCTCTGGCGCCCTGCGGTGCAGCTGCTTCGGCAGCGTGGCGACAAACACTTCCAGGAAGGAGATGAAAGAGATCAACCAGCCCTCAGCCCGTTAAGTCCCTAAGTGAGTGTAGTCTATAAGTGGAGGGACAATGGGCACCCCTAACCTCCATGGATAGCACCCCTTACCTTGTGACTGCTGGAAGTTGGTCATAGTTAGTCCAAAAAGTGAGAGAACTCCAAGAGGTTGTGGAGATCATAAAACATCATAAAACTACCAAACTCTAAGCTCCCCAGGACTGCCTCCCCCTCTCAAGACATCTCAAGACTCGAATTACCTTGATGGCTTGTCAATTACTTGCAACTTGCTGGCGTCTATACCCGTCCACAGACTTGAAAGGAAGGAAGGTATACACTTCCACGGCAAACCTTCGCACACAAAACCTGAAGAAAACACCACCAGTTCTGAACAAGGTCTTGTTGCTCCAATTAAGGTACATCTCTGAACCGCTGAGTGTCTTCCAGCCCCTCCAAACCATCCGGGCTACAATCATCAATCTGAATCAATCTTCAGCCTTCTTCCTTGTCGCTGCGGCACCATGCAGTGCAAACATGAGAAAACCAAAACCACACCACCACACCTCCCATGGTCCTCCCAACCCCAGCGCCGCGGGGGACCCGAACGCGAGACCCGCCGCGGTGGCTCGGACCGGCGTTCGGCGGAGCGTCCCGGGTCCGACGTAAGTGGTTGAGTGGACACAGCGGTTGAGTTGACGACGATGCACCGCGTCGCACCGTATCTCGGTGGCTTCGGACTATTTGGAACTCTTACTATGTCTATCTATGTCTATCTATGTCTCCAGAAGGCTGTTTGTGGCTTACAGAACTGTGACCAAACCGTACGCAAGAAGCCAAAAACAAATCTCACTCCCCAAACAGCCCGCTTCTCCCAGTGAACATGATCCCAACCACATTGGGCTGACGACGAGCACTGATGCTCACCCCCCCCACCCAAACCACACGATGTGTCTTCAAGCAGCCGCTCCAACCAAACCGGGCCACAATCATCAGCAATCCTAGAGAGTCGCATAGTATTCCTTCTAGTCGCTCCAGTCCAAAAAAGAAACAAACGAAACCAAACCAAACCAAACCAAACCACTTAAACAAAAACCAAACACACCTTCCATGCTCCTCCAATCCTCAAAAAACCTCCACAGCACCGCAGCCGAGCTCCGATTCTGCAGCCGAAGAGCTCCGCATCGCCGGAGCCACCGAAGCCGGCATCGCAAGCACGTGCCGCCGCCGGACGGACCTGCACTTGGGCATGGCTTCAGAATCGGACCCGATGGGATGGGGGGAGGAGGGCCATCAGCTGGTTCCGTTGTTTTCGAACGGAATGGTTTGGGGGGGGCATCAGCTGGTCGTTCTCCCGGTTGGTACGGTGCTTCTTCACTATTACCCAAAAGTTTTGCAGACGTCTACTAACAGGATCGTGTGACACTTGAGTGTCACACTCCCGGTCTCCGTCAATGCTGGCTCGGGAGCCATTGGCAGGCCACACCGAAACGCATGGGAACATGTCCGAAATGAAGAAATGGCGTTGCGGAAGGAGGGGGACTTTGGTCGAAAATGAGATAACATGCTCGATGAAACTTCACGAGAACGACTTGACTCACACAACCGGAAATAGGTCAGTTTTCCCTATAGATCCCTATAGTGTTTCTCTTCAAATTGGAGTTGAGGCCGCTGAGGCTGTTCAATTTGGGGCTTCCATCATGCAGGTTGATGCCAATCTCCTATCCAAGAACTTTCAATATCCTCCAAGGACTTCAAATCGCGGCAATATGAACCAAAACAAGTCCGAAATGAAGGGATCGGGATCCGGATCTAATCCAAAAAGGACCCGATCTGATTGAGTCCTACTTCCGACAGTCTTTCTGAAGTAACTTGAGGTCAACGGCCGAACTGATCCTTCTGGGCCACCATGGATCCCACCCCGCAGGTTTTTGCTGGGCGTGGCCCACAAAACGCTGCTGCGGCTGCATCTTGGATTCTTTTTTTCGCACAAAGGGGCTAGCTATGCGGCCAGGTTGCTGCACTGCATGATTAATTAGATGAAACTGTATAAGTGAATCTGAATTAATTCATTTGGGAAAAGGCACCATCTCCCAGCTACTGGCATCAGGTTCTTCCACATCCACTGGTTTTTTCATCTTCTCAGGTTGGAGGGTTTCCCCCGGGCGCTGATGCAAGCGATGGCCCTCTGCCGCAATGTGAAGAATCTCATTGGAAGGAACATCATGGTCAAAATGATCCACGCGAAAACCCGCATCAGGATGCAGCACATCCATCCGCACCAGGAAGCGTCTGCATTTCTCTTCAGCCCTTCATGGTCCACCTCGATCCTCTCTGCAACACTCCTCAGAGCTCGGACGCCCTGGGCGCCGATCGGGTTGAATCGAATCACCAAGCGTCTCACGGTGCCATTGCTTCGCAAGGCCTCGGCCAAAGCCACGGCGCCGCGCGACCCGATCCTGTTGCCCTCCAAGTGGAGCTCCTCCAAGACGTTGTTGGTCACCAAGGCCGCCGCCAAGGCCGTCGCGCCATGGTCGCCGATGCCGTTGAATCCCAGCCGCACCTCTCGGAGCGTCCGGTGCTGCGTCAAGGTGTTCGCCACGACGCCGGCGCCGGCGTCGCCCAGGCCGCAGGCGTTCAGCCACAGCGTGTGGAGCCGTGGCGCCGCTGCCAGGACTTGGACCGCGCCGGGGCTCAGCTGGACAGAGCCGATCTGCACCATCTGCAGTGATTGGCGAGTCTCCAAGGCGGTCGCCAGAGCCATCTGCTGGGAGTCGGCGACATGGGCGGCGACTAGCTGGAAGTTCTGCACCGCCTGCAGGAGGCCCACAAGCTCCACCAAGTCTTCGACTTCGTGGCACGGAAGCCAAGTGCATTCGAAATTCTCCAGAGTCGCCACTTTCTGCTGGAACACCGTGCGTTGCAGTTCGAGCACCGGGTCGATGTCACCGCGGTGAGTAAATTTCAACGCGCGGGTGGCTACACTTCTCTGGAACGCCTCAGGCGTCCAGGGCAGGGAGAACCTGTGAAAAACCGAGTCATACCCGGCCCAGCGGCGGCGCAGGCACAGGCACACGCCCCGCCGCGAAATGTCGACGGTGTAGGGCTTGGCCCATTCGTACTCGGCCCTGCACCAGCCGCGGCCGAGGTAAACGATGTCATTCGCGTGCAAATTGCGACAGCTTTCGTCGCAAGACGAGCTGCACTTGCCACCAACGCTGCGCTTCAAGCGCTTGAGGGGGACTTCGACCACCTTCCCTTCAGCCAGGATGTAGACCGGAATGGTCCGCCTTTGGCGGATCTGCCTGCTGGGGAATCCAAAGGATGAGCGACAAAAAAAATTGAGGCTCTAGGATTCCAACCACCATTGATTAATGGGTACTATAGCCACTGTATTTATGGGTTGTATCGAACAATTAACCATTGTTATATAATTGAATCCACAAATTATTGGGAAGATAAGGGATAGCCCAACTTATTCTATCTACCGGGAGGAAGTAGAAGTGGTAAGCTAAATCCCTAGCGGCACGATCAACTGGGACCAAGACACGGCGGTTGGACGGTCGGGTACCCGTGGTTGACAGTGCAGGGTGTCGAACGAACGATGTGGCAGCAACGAACGAACGAGCGAAGCGAGTGCAAAGCAAAAGCGAAGGTGCGACCGGACACAGCCCAGTCAACACGGCACCCTGAAGAAAACCCGTGCAGGAGCACTTGTTTTCTTGAGCCAATGTGGTAGCGGAAAGGCATACATCATTTGATGTACCCATGGTGAACCGCTACAACTGAATGGACATGTAGTGAATGCTGTTACATACTAGGGGTTCACAGAAAATGACTCCCCCCTCCCCGTTTTGGGGCAGCATTCCTTTGTACATGCACGAATTACCGCGCCGGGTGGCAGCGGTTTCGACGACCTACGAAGGCTTCGAACTGCTCGGAAGGCTCCTATCTGTCTTAGATGGGACTAAGCACTTTAAATCTGTACGGATGCCAAGCAAGCATAGCGCTTTGAACCACTTTTGTGGTGGCAACGCTTTGGTGAAAATGTCTGCAGCTTGTTCATTCGTATCGATGTACTTAATTTCGACAGATGGGTCGTCGATACATTCCTTTAAGGAACTGAGGTTTATCTTATGTGTTCGGCTGATGTGTCGTAGCTTAGGGGAAAAGCCCTTCCTTACTACGAGAATCGTGGCTTGGTTATCCTCCTGTATGACGAGGTTAACGTCCCGTCCAAGAAGTTTATCCCATAGCTGTAGCGAAGGCAGTCCTTCTTGATACAACGAATAGGCCAAGCTTACTACTTCCGATTCTGTAGTGGATCTTGAAGTGGAGGTCTGCCGTTTCGACACCCATGCTAGTGGGTAATGGGTGTTAGGGCCCTTAAGTACTAAGTACCCCCCTGAGGTGGACTTCACGTCATGTTGGTCCCCACCAAAGTCGGCGTCCACGAAAAGTTCTAGCCACAGCTCACTAGCATCATCGCCGCAGACGGCGGTTAGCCTATATTCTAGTGAGTGCTGAATGTACTGAATGAGCCGTAGCAGCTTTTTATCGTGCACACGGGTCCACTTCTGTACCTTGGTGGCTAGATCGTTGATCGGTTTAAGTATGTCAGGCCGTGCTAACCTGGCAAGCCAAAGGGCTTTCATCAGGATAGAGCATGCCTTTGGTGCGAGCTCTCCGGGCGACTCCTCATCAGCCGTGGTGAATGTGCCGTCTGTGAGAAATGGCGTCTGGGCTGACTTTATCTTATCAACACCGGCCACCGACTTATAGAGGTCGATGGTTTGCTGCGCGTAATCTTTCATGTCGAAGATTAGGGCGTCAGCGCTACCGCGCAAAGCAGCGGTCTCGGTGTTTCCTGAGTCTGGGACTACCGCGTAGATGTGGTTCCTTCCTAGCATTCTGTAAATAGGTTCGGGTGGTTCAACGTTAACAACATTCGTGAGCTCTGACCAGAACTTTTGGTGGTTCTCCCGTGGGCCTGCCAAAGTGAGGTCGTCAACGTATGTGGATAACATTAAACGAGGACCAGAAAACCAGAAGTTACCGGGGAACTCTGGGATTTCTTCGCCACCCATTTTCTTAAGAATGCCCTTCAAATGCTGTTCCCACATCCCTCCTGCGTCGGGATGTCCGTACAGCGCCTTGACGAGAAGGACCACTGGTTGAACAAATCTATTCTTCCACCACGCGGGTCGAAGTTCAGGTGGTAATTCGATCCAAGTTTTGTACTTGGACTTCAGTGTTGCTTGCACATACGCCTTCACCGCATCCGCGGCGGTGCACAGGTTACCAGGTAGTGACCCGTAGGCGAGGCAAGCGTTCAACCCTTGGACCGAAGTCGGGTTTGCGCCTAATTCCTCATAGACGGCTGCTGCGCCATGCTCGTCCTTTGCGCAGTCACCTCGGTAGACAATCCTACCTTTCTTTTTCTGCAACTCTTTCGCCAGCTCGCAAAATTTAATGGAGGCTATGGTCATTAGTTTACCGAAATGGACGGAGACTCCGGAAGCCTTAGCCTCAGCACGGACGTGCTCCTTCTCCCTAACGGATTCATACTCCCAAGTACCTTCGTTAACCAAATCGGCTGCCTCGTCCTTAACCTTTTGCAAGGCTTCAGGATCACTGAGCATCTCGGTACGGCTTAGGAGCTTGGTGACCAGCAGAGCTGCTACCTGATCTTTACCATCGTCGGTCTTTGGGATCTGGTAGGCCTCGTGCATAAGAGCACTGATATCCATTAAACCTTCAACCATTTGCCCGACAGTGTCATCTGTCTCAACTGCGATGGCCATAGCGTCGATCCCCGACAGGGCTGACACATGTTTCAGCGTCTGCTCTTTGTCCCTGTGCTCATGCTCATGGGTACATGAAAAACATGGCATGGCTGGGGCATGATGGGAAAAAGACATGCTAGGGCAAAGGGCCTTTGCAATTTGGACAGTCATCTGCCTTGGGTAAAATGCAGTACGAGCTGTCTGCGACCCGACCGCTTGATCATGTTCGTGGGGTTTATGGGTGCATTGGAACTGCGAGAACATGTCGACGATAGCCCTGCTGGTGGTCATCAGGCGCCACCTCTTTTTAATGGGTCTGCCTTTAGTGGATTTCACACCAACAGCACACCCGTCAAATTCGACTGGAACAAACTCGGGGTGGCTATCAAAGAAATGTTTTACGTCTGTGCGTTGCCAACTTTCACACCCTTTAGGCCACTCGAAAGTGACAGTGCCTTCTCGAGCTAAAGTAAGCTCTGCAGACTTAGCGAATTCAGCAAATAAACGTTTAGACTCCTTAACCTGAAGTGCATGCCTTTTCATGAAGTTGAGCCCCCCCTTTCATGCGATTTACCCTTTGCCAAGGAGACCCTGATGTGCAAGGGATTGAGGCCCATAAATCAGGAATCTCATCACAGGTGGTTATATGATGGTGCAACTGTGCTTGCATTTGGGGATCGTCTAGATCGAGGTGCTCTTTTGAAAGGGCAATGTGGGGAATTCCCATCTCCAGAAAAGTCTCGTGCATTTGCGAATCCGAGGCACATGCGAACTCGAACATGCATCGGCCAGGCCGCGCCTTACGCGGTTTCTTCTTCTTCTTTTTAGACTTAGAAACTTGAGCTGGTTGTGCTGTTGATGGCATGCCAAACACCGGGACTCCATTCTCAGGGCGAGTGTGGATGAGTTGTGTCCTGTATGTGGTGTGTGGCGAGAGCGACAGCCCCGATATCACAGTCGGAATCGCATCGATGACGTGTGACTCATCCTCGGTGACACTTTCGGATGAATCCGTCGGAGGCGCGGTCTCGGGCTCCCGTGGTGGAAGCTCCTCCACGGTGATGCCTTCCTTCCTTTTGGCAAGAAGGTCGCGTCTCTCCTCGTCAACAAGTTTGGCAAAACGTTTCCTGCATGCGGGCGTGTGATATCGTGTTTTCTTTTCACACGCTTTGCACCCTGGGGTTTCGCTAAACCGGATGATGCGATCCAAGGTGATGTACACCCCCCTGGTCTTAGGGTCCATGGGAGTTGGTGGTACGGCGTCGGCTCCCTCCAGCCCAAAAGGGATTTCCTTCATGGGGATGTCCGGCATGTCAAGACGTGCAAGATCGTCGAGGACTCCTAAAGAACCTCCCTTCAAATGCGCTAGCTTAACAGAGGCCATTGGAAAACATGGAGGACCATCTTCAACATAAATCTCAGCTTCGGGGACTTCTTGGACATTGATGTGTTCATTAACTTTGTAGTCCATGTAGTCGAGAACACGAACCACATAGCGATACCGAAAACCAGCATCTATTCGCCAACCTAAGAACAAACATGGGGTCATGTTAGGTTCTAGGGTGCGTTTAGATACCCGCTTGTCACGGTAGTACATCAGTTGACCAAATGAATGTCTCATGCCGTCAAATGGCTTGCGAGTGAGCGCCTCCCATTGTGTCTTTGCGGGTTCCAAAGCTGACGGTCTGTCAAAACTCATGGAAAGACATGCGAAGGGATATGAGTGGGTGTGAAAGGGATATGGCAACCCAGATTGAAGATGGATTGCTCTGCAGCACTCCTTTTCTTCACGGATGTCTCTTTCCATCATGGCGTTATGGGGCCATCTGTTTGGCAAGGACGTTTCCGGAATCAACCCAACCTCATGTGCAGCCTGTTCCAACTCTCCAGCCTCGTCCATCTTAACAAGGACGCGTGTAGCTACCTCGTTAGCCTTCAGGCCTAGAAAATGGCGGAAGTTCTTGGAGTGGGTACTGGCATCACGCTTACTCATGGGGTATGCTATTCTAGCACCCGAGTAGGTGTCTCGGACTACATGAAATGCTTTAGCCCCGCCTACACCTTTGCCGGCGAAGTCTTCTCCTTTTGCCATTATAAAGTCGTCAGTTGACAACTGTTCATATGGACCTTTTGGTGGGTCTATGAAGTCGTCATCTTTGACATCAGGTTTGCGTGAGACTCTCTTAGAAGTTGACTTCGAGATCTGACAAACTGGACAAAAGGGGTTCTTGGGGTAGTGTGTTAGAATATGCGGTTCCTCGAACGCAGCTTTCTTGAGCATAGTAGGGTCATCCGCTATTCTTGCTTCATCACCATCATAGGCAAGCTCTATTAGTGTCTTGTCGTCGTCCGGATGAGGCGGAATGCCCCCCCGCGAATGCCTCAGCGGTCTCTGACCCAACGGCACTGGACCTAGGAGAAGCATCCTCGACGGACTCGACTGGCTCGATCACGTCGTCTGCAGCGACGGATGGTGTGTATTCTTCGTCCGAAACAGGATCTGGCGCTGTCTCCGCGGG